CCCCAAAACCCCAAAACCCCAAAACCCCAAAACCCCAAAACCCCAAAACCCCTTTATGCACATAAATTATTGAAAATGGATTCCTCTTTTGCACTAGTTCAACGAAAATTTTCCTTGCCAGGCACATTCTCAAGTCCAGTTGATAGGTTCCATAGGGCATGCAAGGCTGGCCAGGTTGACTTAATCAGAGAATACTGCACTAGTGATCTCAAATACGAAGTACTAAACTCTACTAATAATAACGTAAGTTAGTTAACTGAATTTGTAGCTTAAATGGACTCCATTGGTGAGAAGTATCCTCGCTCGCCAGATCACCATCACTAAGATCCTACTAGCTGCTGGAGCAGATCCCGAAATCAAAAGTGCTGTAATTTTTATTTAAACTTCTTAGGATGGAGAAACCGCTATTTTTCAAGCCTGAAAAATTCAGAGTTCAACAATGCTTGAGCTATTAGCCAGATATAAAGTATTGATAAACGTGGAGAACCTGAATGGAGATTATCCTCTTCACATAACCTCTCTGCATGGTAACAAAATGCTGTGAAAACTTTTATTAATAAAAGGAGCAGACCCTAACGTTCAAAACAAATTTTCGAAATAACACCCCTCTTCATATCGCCATTGAAAGAGGACACATGGACTGCGCCATGATCCTCTTCAAGTACGGAGCAATGGGAGATATTCTAAACAAGAACGGTCAAACTCCTCTAAGCTTAGCAACCAAACTGGATAAAATCAAACTTGACCATTATTTTGCATACCAAAGAAAGAGCAAATCTGTGGTGCGACCCGAGCACAGAGGCTCTAGCACAAGCTTGATTGACTGAGACATCTCATGAATCTCCTTACAAAAGGTGTCTAACTGTGAGTCAGGAATGAGTTCGCCTTCACTCTCACATTGAACTTCTAAATTCCTATACTCAACTATAAACACCAAGAATCCCGAAGAGAGGCAAGAGAATTTATCTAAAATAGAAGAGTCAAAAGAAGACTCATCTGAGGTTACTCAGCAACCTCCCCGCTGGGAAGAGCGACAAGGGATATTAGAGATCCAGCCAAGCAAAAGAAGGTAATCTTTAGTCACAAGCTATAGTCGGTTTAATGGTAAAGAAAGTTTGTCTAAACAAATGCTGCATGAATTCCAGCCTCACCAAACTCCACAAAACCTTAACAGGTCTTATATAAAAATCGACGAGAATGACATCAACAAGAGCCAAATTGCATTGCAGACTGATCCAGAATTGATGAACAAAAATGGCCTGACCACTCGAGAAGATCTGCCCGATAGTTTTCACTGAAATCAGTCTCTAGACAAGCTGAATGACAAATTAAAACTGGTAAAATATCCGTTAAATCATAGGTTTTGAAGGAAGAAGTTACTCAGAACCAAAACACACCTGAGAAAACACCTATTTTTGACAATGGAGGGTTTAACTTCACTCTTGGGTTCGGCCAGACAGCACAATTTAACCCTAAAATGAGTGATACTAAGATAATCAGCCAAGGTGATACTTTTGAGCAAACAAAAACTTATGATACCAAAAGTTTTGAAATGAGCCCTCACAGAAATTCTGGCATTCAAAACTTCAAAGATATCTCAGGAGTCTCACTCATTGAACCGGACCTTGCTCCTGTCTCAGACAGTGATGAAAGTGCTGAATTTGAAGAATGGGAGCAATTTGATGAACGGATTGCTTACAACACACAAGAGAGAAATCTTTTATCCTCTATTGATCATAATATTCTCCAAAAGCCCGACCCAGATTTTCAGGGGAAGAAAATTCCCTTCTCAAGAAGTAGCTACAATAGCACTGAGACCCCATTCAATCGATATAAAAGAGCTTGAGTGAATTCAATAAACCGCAGCAATATGGTAATCAAAGACCCTGAAATTACGAATGATTACATAACGATCCATAAAATCCCTGATACTCCTGAATGAAAGCTGAACTTATTCGGCAAATCTCACAAGGCAAAGTGTCCAGAGAGGCTCTATTCGACTCATTCTCATAAAATACCTTCAAGAGCAAACCAGAGTTGTAAGGAACTATCCTTAATATTTAGATGATTGAGAACCGACCAAAAGAGGGACTAACTTTATGGAGGTACACTGACTGGTTAATCCTATTATAGAGGAAGCCACCAATTTATACTCAGGATTCAAGCCTGAACCTCACTAATTTGTCCAGGATAATAACTGAGAAGGCATGCTCAAAATTCAGCTGCTCTCCGGAGCAAAACTCAGAAGAGTATGAATTGAATATCGTTAATGACCATCACGCAGAACAGCCTATTGATACTGAAAGAACTGATGTATCAGGTAAATGTCCTTTTTACCATTAGAGCATGAAAGGGCAAAGCCATTGCACCAATCTCACATAAAAAGAGCTGGTACTAAATGCAAGGTAACTCAAAATCTTCGCCAAAGGAGAACTTCTCATCTTATCCCAGACAGTGCTTGCATCAGTGGCATGAGAGAGGGGAAGATAAGACCCTCTGCAGCACTTCCCTTCAACAAAAAGTTTGAATATTACCTAAAAAACTAGCTCAGGCTTCTAATTTTCCAATTAATTCAATTCCACTTTACTCAAACGGGGTTTTGGGGTTTTGGGGTTTTGGGGTTTTGGGGTTTTGGGGTTTTGGGG